GACTAGAAAGCAGAGTTTTATAAGATAGTCAAACCGTGAAAAACTTATGGCTTGTTTGTTTGTGCTGAATGCGCTGCTGCACTCTGTAAAAAAAAAAGACGGGAAAAAAATCCCGACTCACTCCCAGTGCTGACACCAGGAAGTAGAGTTTTTTCATGAAGATAGTCATTCCGTGAAAAACTCATGAATGGAAATAAAACAGACGTTGTGCACAGAGGAATTTGACTGATAAAAACTGTGGAAACTAAACCAGGACAGATGTAGATAAATACGTCTGGTGAGTGACGAGTCTGACTTTTTTTTTATGCATTATCGGCTGTTGCGGGGGAACTCCATGCAGTGACGTATGTTTCAGGGACAGGGGTTTCCCGAACTCGGCGCTGGGGTGTCGTAGGGACTTTGAAAGGTCTGCGCAAAAACAACTGCCGAACAACCGTGTGACCGTGCGTCGACCCGTCGGCGTCGGAGCGAGWATGTTTCAGGCTTAACATACGCTGTAAGAACTAAGGTCTTACGCCACGACCACCTCCCCAGCAGGGACTGTGTGGAGTTTAGCATGTATGAATGAAATGAAACAATTGAAGGCTGTGCTAGAAGTGCGTGGCAGGACAGATGCGCCTGTTTAGTCAACGAGAACTTAGAAAATGTAAATTCTCTCTGCATTGACAATGTGAAAAATGAGCATGGGCCCTCAAATATTCCAAATCGATGTGTATTGAAAAGCTGAGACTTTCCACATTAAATGATTTCCATAATCCTCTGACTACTAAGCATTAAATAAGAACTGCAATCAAGTGAGGTTTTTTTAGCAGGACAACAGCTGGTGCTTTACAGTGCGTGGAGTATACATTTCAGTTTGTCTTTACGCCTCTTTTTTCATGCGGCTACGTTTTATTTGTATGAGGTGGCAAATTTTGTTCACAACTTTGTTTCTGATGTTGTGTAAACAAAACAAAATCTTGTGGATTTACTGGGATTATCAACTAAAAAGAGTCATCCCAACAAATATAATCCTCATGAAGGCAGAAGTTGTAAAATCTGGTGAAAATGAACATTTTTTTTTATCATCCATCACCAAAAAGGCAGATGCGGATTATAGTGAGGATTTTTTTGTGCACGTGTGTGTGATTGTTTGTCTAAAATACACTGCCCRCCCCTTTTTGGTTAGCTGAGCCCACCATGGCTGGTGAGCACTTGTCAAGGAGTGGTCGCGTTTCTGCTTTTCTCACCAGTGTACTCTGGGTCCACATGAGGAGGGTAGAAGCGGAAGTTGATGAAGAAGGGGATAGGCACTCCAAACTTAAACCACTCCACCACATATGGGGGCTGCTGGCCGTCCAGGGGAGGGGAGACGTCACACCCCAGGATCACGCTCTCTCCGGCGCGCGCCGTCACAAACCGGGGCTCCTCTCTCACGCCGTGGGCACCTGATGGGAGACAACTTTTTATTACTACGTGTGAATTTACCACGGGCCAAGCAGAWCGTCATACAAAAGGAATTCACCATAGACTTGAATATAGATCACTAGATTGAGCCCCGCCCATCCCGTCCACTGTTAGCGTCTGTGACAACATGGAGGAGCAGAAACAGACCAAACAGGACAACAGCTCACAGCCACCATAGAAACTAATATACAGTATAAACAGCAGCTGAACTGGATCTGTTTCACAGATTATCAGTCATGTTTTTACAATAAATTAATAATTATGTTAATTTCATACAACAATCATGTAAAACAGCAGATTTATGCCAGAAAAATATTTAATTTATAAGTAACAATGATCTAAACCAGACCTGAAGTCAGCCTGTAACTTAAACTTTTGCTAGTTGAAAAATGATGACTTCAGCTAGTAATAAAGTATATTTATTATTTCTTCTTACTGTCATAAGAAATAAGAATATTTATATTTATCAATCAACAGTTAGAAAATGTTCTCTGGTTATAGGATGAAACTTGTCTCTATTAGCTAACCATCTTCTCAACAAGTCAGGTTCCTCTAAAAGAAACCTAAAAATACTCACATTTATAATATTATTTTACACTCTGTAGGTCTAAATATTAATCAGAGGACGAAATATTTAATAGTTTGTTAAATTGTAGCATGATTCAACAGTGCTAAACTCTGTATAACTGCTCCACAAGCTAACATCTGCTAACCAGTTCAATAAACAACAGTGATTACATGGACTTTATAAGATTATTTAAACTTTAAACTGTTACATTATGTTCTGCTCAGATCACATTGAGCTAAATAAGATCAAATCTGCTGACTTGTGTTGTAAAATGAGATGTTTTCCTGTTTATCTTCTGTTAATAAATCTATAACACAAACAGCTTTTCTGACATTATTTAAAATATTAGATAGATTATATAAACTGTAAAATATTAACAATAATTGTGTTAATATTATTATTAATAGTTACTATGATTTCTACATCATCAGTCCTTTTTTTCTGCTCTGTCACCAACATGTACAGTAATGGGAAATCCAGGCTCTTGACCGTTTAGCGTTAGCCGTTAGCGTCTCCAGCCGATCACACGGTCACGTGGTTTTTGTGCACTCCAGCTGTTCTATAGAACCTCCTTGGAATTYACAAACAAGAACAAGCTGCCAAATAAATGCGATCAACAACGCTAATGAGTTTGAAATGAATTCTGCTTAAGGGTCCGCCGTGCTGGGCTTGGAGTCAGCAGTTTGAATGGCTCCTGAGCAAAMGGGTAAAACCTCTCAGCCCCCCTCCACTGTCTCATCGTCCTATCGTCATCTGTCACCTGCATCTGCTGGCGAGTGTTTGTGCCATACTGTACACTAAATGAGCTGCCAAGAGGATCCATTGATCACCACTGGCTGCTGCTCAGACGAGCTTTACTATGAGCACGGCCACRCAGGCCTGGCGTTTGGCCACGAACGTCCTGGCAAGCTGAGGAGCGTTGACCTATCAGACGACTCAAAGGTCGGCCCACCTGCCTCAGCAGAACGCTCACTCTGGGAATGGATTTTCTCCAGCTGCCACCCCCGCTTTTATCGAGCCGGCTGGATGTCCGCCGTCAGAGCGAGCGTGACTACCGGCCCTCGCCCATGGGGGGGATCTCTTCAAGGATCAAGAGACATGCTGACGTTTCCCTCCAGAGGGCCAGCACCTGAATAACTTAATGCTTTCATTAGCAGTATCATTTGCATTATCAGGGCAGATTTTTGACTGGAGAACTAAAAAWTAAATAAATAAAAACGCGGAGGTTTCACAAGCTCGCGCAGGACTGTCGGAAAAGATCTTCCAACAACAAATTCAGGACTGTTAAACTGAGACGCTTGATTAATGAAATTAAAACCCAAATATTTTCATCCTGTTTTCCATCTGAAAAACAGAGCTTAAACTCCGCCCCTGAAGACCATATGCACCACTTAGTGATTGTGTTTACCAGTTTAATCTGCATTATCCTGTGACACAGTTAATCCACTTTATTCATTTCAGCGAGCACAGATTCTGGACTCAAACACAGCAGATTAAATCAAACTGCACTTTTTAAAATGGTCTGTCATTTATGGGTTTTTGAGCAGGAATCTGTCTGGCTGATGTGTCTCTTTAGTAGCAGAGACATAAAAAACAGCAGTTCAAGGTTTAAGTAGCGACAAGGAACACATTAAATATAAATTCCAAAAACACCTGATTATCGGGGATCATGCGTAAATATTTAAAGGTCTAAATTAAGTTCCTGGCTAATGACAAAAGTCCAGAACATCTAGCAAAAAGCCAACATTTTTTCATTAAATTTGCTTATAAATTACAACCCAACCAAATGACTAATGGATAATTACATTAGAGCCATGCTGTAGTGTCATAAGTAGTTTTACTTTAAATGTGATTGACTTTACTTTTTGTGTCTCAAGAAAATTAAAAATATATACAGTATATTTTGTTTTACTCTTGGATGTGTTAAAATGAAAACTTGTGCATTAATTTTATTGTGGCTTTATTCATCCATCCATCCATCCATCCATCCATCCATCCATCCATTTATCATCCATCCATCCCTCCCTCCAGCTCCTCCTAGGGGATCCCTCCACAGATTTCTGGGTCTCCTCCGAGTTCAACATGTGTAAAGAACCTCCAAAGGCATCCAGGAAGTATCCTAATCAGAAGCCCACCTTTCACCAAAAGACTCCTTTCGATGCAGAGGAAAAGTGGTTCTAGTCTGGCCTCCCCACAGGTGAAGAAACTCTTCCTCTTATCTTTAAAGCTGAGCCTCAGCTCTACAAAAATGCTGCTTGTATCCAATACCTGATTATTTCTATCATAATCTATACCTGAAGACCATCAATAGGTGAGGGTTGGAACGTAGGCCGACCAAGAAATTAACAGCTTTGCCTTCCAGGTCAGCTTATTTTTAAAGAGATCAAAGTTTAACAGCGAAATCGTCTCTCTTTTGTTTTAACCTTTGGGGTCTAACACTTTAAGATAACCTATGACCTCCAGAGGAGCAGAGAGCAGAGCACACTGAACAGACTGTTTGGCTAAAGTAAGTCAAGTCACTTGACTCAAAGTAAAGGATCAGGCCTCGTGGCCCTGAGTGCGTGCTGCTGAAATCCATTGTGTTCTCTGCAGACGCTTCAGGTTGCACAAGTTTAGCAGCTCATATTTCTRGCGGACAGTATTTCTGGGTGCTTGTGGCAGAGAAAACATGCCTCAGACACAAAATAGACTGGAAATGATAAATTATGGGCAAGCTAATAATTCCCTACTTCTTTTATGAGATCGTCGTGAGGCGACGATGAGCCCCAGCTTGGTCATTGCTTTTCATTTCCTTAATGGAGACACAGTGACCCCGCTAGGTTTTATGGCAGCTCATTCAGGAGGAGGAAATATTTATGCGCTCAACAAGTCATAAAGGCGACACGAGGCTCCGTGGTAAAAATCTTAAAGCATTAACAGCAGTGAAGATACAAACGGGTTCAACRCAGCGAGGAGGTGGCTGCAAACTTGTGATTGCTCCGGTGCTATAAACGTCAGGTGGCCAAGGGCTGAAGAAAAAGAAACAACTTTTCAAAACTGTTGAGTAAGATCTGTATAAATCACATTTCTAATAAATCCTGCAGACCTGTTCGTTTTATGAAGCTATCCCTGTCGTTTAGCAGATTTACTGCTGCAATCATGAATTCACCTGGACGATAAATCACCTGAAGCCAAAACAGCACAGGAAGTAAGACCTGAATGTCTCCTGAGGTAAACAYAGCAGTGACAGGAAGTGATTGTGTTTGGGAGTATGTATTTTGTACTTTATTACATGCTTGCCCATTTCAACTGATTTAGTTATAAATTGTCTTAAATGTGTAAAAAATAAATGATGGATTTTTGGAACAAAAAGTTTMAACTTTTCAATTCTTGACTTTTTTYCCCCTCTTCATCTAAAAAGAATGAGTTATTTGGCTCAGTCTCAAATCACAAGTGTCAGAGGTCAARTCTAAATCTTCCAGTTTGACACAATTTAAAGCACAAAGAGGTTAAACTAATCTGATTGGAGGTTTAGATTGGAATACAGTATAAGCAAAAGTATAGCTCTTTATTCAGTTGGCAATCTGAAACACAGTTTTAGGGTGCCCTGACCTAAATAATTGAAATAAAAACTGCAAAGAAAGTTGGAAAAATATACCAAAAATATATACATCAAAACTTCTGTGGTGAATACAGCAGCTTTGATTTTTCTACAGATTTTACATATTTGGATGACAGTCATCAACATGAACAATCTCAATAAAAACTAAATAAACTAGATACCACACATCGGTAGCAAATATGACCCTCGTACGTACGAAAAGCACCAATTCGCCAGAACTCAGAACTCACCAGAACAGATTTACTGTTTTGGGTGGGGGTGGGGGGGCTCATTGGTTGTCCCGATGGATATCCCCTCATTAGAGCTAAACAACAACAACAACAAAAAATCTGAATCTCCTTTGTTGAACAGCTTTTGAGTTATAACATTTTTGAATGTCCAGACACCCCCTTTTTAGATGGAGACCCCTCCTTAAATATTTGGTCTATCTTAAAACCATTGGTTGGTGCATAGGTTGGACACATCTACGTTCCTGACAAATTTCATGTTGATCGGTCCAGCTGTCTCCGTGATATATATATATTTATATATATATATATATATTAGGTTGGACACATCTACGTTCCTGACAAATTTCATGTTGATCGGTCCAGCTGTCTCCGTGATATATATATATTTATATGATTGGCTGCTTTCACAGATGTCAGGTATTAAAAATCCCCTCACAACTAAAATATAATGTTGCACCTAATGATAGTAAAGTAAATTGAGACATTAGAGGCATCCGTTTCTACTAATCCCACAGATGACAAGAACAAACGATTWTCATTATAATATTAATTACTCATTTAAACCATAACTAATGCAACAGA